GGCTTCACCCACGGCCTCCAAACGACTTCAGAATCTCTTTAATCTCTTCTGGATGGTCTCCTTGTTAATATTGGTGAATTCTGCCATAATCATTGCCTTCAGTTCATCTTTGGTGTTATAAGGAGCTTTTTTCGTCAATTTATTTTGGAAAAAAAATATTCACAGCAAAACATTTTTGAAAAAAATGCATTATTACCAGCAATACATTTTTGAAGGAAAAAATATTATCAAAAATAGATTTTTCACAAAACAAAATATTAGCAGCAATAAGAATTTTGTCGTCATTAAATAACCCATTGAGGTTGATAAATCAAAACATACCAAACGTAGCAAAATGAAAGGGGAAAAGCAAATTAACATGTAAAGCAAGTAATTAAAAAAATGATGAGTTGCAAACAGCGCAATGCAAACGAATGAAATGTTAATTCATGCAAATTTAAAAAAAAAGGATATGTGTAAAAATAAAATATAAGGCAATCGAATGAAACAAGGAAGGTAAATATAAAGGTGTCATTGAAATTAAAATGTTTGACAAGCAAATTAAAATACGTCAAAGAAATTGAGAAGATCTGTCTTGAAAATCGAAATTAAAAGAAATGAAATGAAAATTTAAATCATGCAAAACAAGACGAAGAGAGAAGATATTAAGAGGGAATATTATACAATATATTTCACTTGTTACATTTACAATTGTAGCAATAAATATATTGATGATGTATCATGTTCATCAATTCAGTTCGCGTGTTTGATTGCTGTATATTGTTTTTTAAATACTTGCGAAAAGGAGTGTTTTCAATTATCAAAATTCTATGAAAGCAAATTTATAGAATGTGACCACTAAAAGTTTCAGTAATTTGACTTTTAAAAAATACTGAATATATTGTTATATAAGCAACAATTACATTATAAAAAAAAAACAACAGCAACAATAACAACAATTACTCACTTACGTTTATCAAACATTAAATTATATCACTTAGCATCTTCCATATTTTACCTTTATTTTCAGTTTATCTGATGTATATTGCTGAATGATTTTAAATTTTGAAAATTCTGTTTTCGATGGGTTGGGGAATAAATCATGAAGGTTTTTTAAAAAATATTGTCATGGTCTTACGATGTTAAATTACATAAAATTAGTGCCATGCTCTTAAAACATAAAATATTGTCATGGTCTTACGATATTAAATTACATAAAATTAGTGTCATGCTCTTAAAACATAAAATATTGTCATGGTCTTACGATATTAAATTACATAATATTAGTGTTATGGTCTTAAAACATAAAATATTCTCATGGTTCTTACGATGTTAAATTACATAAAATTAGTGTCATGCTCTTAAAACATAAAATATTGTCATGGTCTTACGATATTAAATTACATAATATTAGTGTTATGGTCTTAAAACATAAAATATTGTCATGGTCTTACGATGTTAAATTACATAAAATTAGTCAACAATATAATTTCCGTTGCTGTTAATAACTTTTCCCATCGGTCACAAAAGTTTTTCTATTCCTTGTCGGTAAAATTCTCCTGATTTTCAGTTGAAAACGTCGTCCAACCAAACTCTCAATTCAACATAAGTAATGAAAAGAGATCGAAAAAGATGAAAATTTGATGGTGCCAAGTCTGGCGATTACGGTGGACGATTTTCAGTTTACTTGATGTATATTTCTGAGCGATTTTTAAAAAATTCTGAAAAACAAACATTTTTACTTCTGTTTATAAATACTTGTTGCAAAATAAAATCCTTACATTTGAGTTTATAAAGTCTATCAGTGGAAAAAAACGCGTCGGATGACATTTATTTTCTGTCGCCTTATTCGTATATATCTTTAAAAATATTTTAAAGATGTATTTTTTGTTATATCTGAATTTATATTATATATATATATATATATATATATATATATATATATATATATATATATATATAAAGGCTCAAACACTAATATTCCATGGTCATAATTTATTCCATTGGAATCGTAAATACGATCAATTCATCAGACCTACAAATTCAAAAAAGCTTTTTTTTTTACCGCGAGGCATTTAAACACAAGGTTTGAATCTGTCGCGGGATAGCCTTTCTTAGATGAGGGTGAATGGAGTCTCTCTGAGCCTTGGTTGGCAATCCATTTAGTGATGGTGTCACGATAAAAACACCCTTGATAACCCTAGCGAAGCATCAAGAATCCAGCTATTGACAAGATTATGAATTACACAAAAGGATAAAACGTGATACATTGATCCCTAAGGAAGATCTTTTAGGTGCTATGACAGATAGGGAATACTGGAGAGGTGTAGTGAGTTCAATCTCGGCTGAGGCCGCAAGATGATGATGATGTTATATATATATATATATATATATATATATATATATATATTGTGTATATATAGGCAGCAATTTTTCATTAATGTATGTTTCATTAAATAATATAGACAAGTTTTGTCTATTTATTTTAAGTAAGTTCCTTTCATATTGTCTGATAAGCTTAATAACATTATCATTGAAAGACGAAAGGAAATTACCATATTAATACATCTTTTAATCCAATTTAAATCGCATTTAAAACAACATGCCTGGCCGCATACACAATTCCGGAAAATCTTTGTTGAAAACACAACTATACTTAAACATGAAAACAATAAACAAAAATAACTCAAAATTCTTGAAGCTATATACATAAAACAGTTGAAATCTAACCTGAACAAAATAAACTATGAAATCTCCACAAATATTCTTAATGCCTATAATTGATAACAGAAGCCACTGGTTTATACCAACGGCTTCCCATACTTAAAACTTCTAGTTTTCACTCTCACGTAGTCATATATACCGTCAAGAGCTGCGACGCAATTTTCGCTTCCGTGTCTCGTATACACGAGTTTGTCGTTGCTTTGAAATTATGTAATAGAACTAAAACAGACTATCATCATCGTTTTGTCCATGTATTGGCTGATATATTGAAAAGTAATTGTCATCTTTGATAATGGTTTATGTAATCCGAAAGCTTAGATAAGATTAAAACATGTATAAATATGGTGATTTACTTTCGTCTTTCAATGATAATGTTATTAAGCTTATCAGACAATATGAAAGGAACTTACTTAAAATAGACAAAACTTGTCTATATTATTTAATGAAACATGCATCAATTTATATATATATATATATATATATATATATATATATATATATATATGTTAGCTCTATCTCTGATATTGAGCGCTTTCTAATAAGTACCGCGCATATAATATATAAATAATTATGCATATATATATATTTGTTTATATTTATATACTTTTAACATATATATATATATATATATATATATATATATATATATATATATATATATATATATATATATATAGGGGGTCATATTTATAAATCTACATTATTTCAAGCAAGTTTCATTAAATAATATAGATATATCTATTTATTTTTGCAATAATCCGTTCTCGTTCTCTAATTCTATTTAAGCTGAAATTTATAAAGCAAGGCGCCGTAGTTCTTGTACTTTCGATTTCCCACCCCAGATTATCCTGAATTGCGAAAACAAACTTGATGTAATTGTAATCAGTGTGATGATGATGTTTGTAAACACACCTTTTTCTGTTATAATTACTTTAAAATAAATCGTTGTGGTTAAGGTGTTTTGTAAACAAGCGTTCTCAATGCAAGGGGGATAACCAGAGATGATAACTTGCAACATGGTATTAAATGTTAGTCAATTCAAATGCATTTTAAAACATTAATACAAAACTCGTAATAAATCTTGTTCAGTGTTGTTTGGTGATTTTTGATATGGAAGGCATCGAGAATTTCAAGTTTTTCTTTATTATTTTCGTGGTGTATTATATTGGTGCTGTCAACAAGTATTTTTTTATGTATTCAGAAGCTGGACAGTGAAGAAGGCATGACATATTGAGAGAAGAGAAGAGAGAAAATCATTTAGGAAAAGGAAAAAGGAAGGAAAGTGGATAGTTAAGAGAGAATGAGGAAGCTGGAGTGAAGTGGGTGAAAAAGACGAAGGTAGAAAGAGAGGAAGTAGGTAAGAAGTGAATTCTGAGTAAAGAAGAGAAGTGATGAGAGAGAGAGAGAGAGAGAGAGAGTGAAAGAGAAAGAGAGAGTGTATGTGTGTGATAGAAAAGTAAGTATATTGTGAGATATGCAAATATATTCGATTACACGAATTTTGAAACGTTGCCAGAAAACATGTTTTATATATATATATATATATATATATATATATATATATATATATATATATATATATAATTCCAATATATGTCAATATTTACTGATTATAAGAAAATATGCACGAAAGCATATATAAACACACACACATATAGATATACACACATGATCTGTGTGTATGACAAAGTAAACATTCACCCACACACACGCATATATATATTCAGGCCGGTAAATGTCGTTTAATACTGTTTATCATAAACATAGTATTTACTTAAAAATGTGTATCTATAAAAAAGAATGTATAAACATCAAAATGTCTTAATATATATATATATATATATATATTTTCTGTTCATGTACCCATTACATCAAATAACATATTTCAATTTAATTCAACATCGATTTGACACGCGCGTGTGTGTGTGTATATATATATTCTTAACAGGCTAATTAAATCTATTTTACACAGTTCATATATACCTGTTCCTATATATATATATATATATATATATATATATATATATATATATATATATATATATATATATGTGTGTGTGTCATTCATAAGCAGTACTGTTTCGCTGTATCACAGCTCCTCAGTGTGACTAGACGTCCGAAAAGCTCACGTCAGGATAGAAACCCGACCGATTTGGTGTGAATCGGGTTTCTACTCCTAAGCCATCAGAATTCGGCAGAATTCTAGCGAATTTAATTTAAAAAAAACTTCAGTTATATATATATATATATATATTATTTTACGAATTTAAAAAATAAAAACTGTATATGTGTATCAGATATTTTCTATATTTTCTATTTATCTATCTCTTTAATTCTGTTTATATCTATCTATCTATCTATCTATCTATCTATCTATCTATCTCAGCCTCTTGACTTCTATCTATGTATGCTGTCTCGTAAGTGACTCACAGATTTTTGTTACTTTTCATTGCTTATCATTTTTGTATCCCCTGACAATCAACCTTTGTTCGTGGCCAGGCGGTGTGTCCGAGTTCTAAGCTTCCTCGTTCGCCGCAGTTTGCATTAGTATTCTCGATGCAAAGTCGTGATCGTCTGTATCAGCGAGACTAGGCAATAAATAAATAAAGTAGAATCTTTGAAATTTATTAAAAAAAAAAAAAAAAAAAAAAAAAAAAAAAAAGAACTGACAGGTAATCGATCGCGTTTTCTGGCCACTAATTCCACGTGACTTATTACGACTGCAACTGCTACAGTCAGTTTGCTTGCAACAAATGCGGCGACTTGCACGAGACTGCTTCGACTCCGAGAATCCTGCTTATAATCGCGATAATAGCAGAAGATGAAAATATATTTTGGAAGAAGAAGGACGTGGCTGCTAAATAATTGTACAATCGAAAACACCAGAATATTTAAAGTGAGATATAGGCAACTTAAGAAACGATGTTCACCCTGTTTAAGTCCCGAGAGCTATCCAAGTTAGATCATTATTGAATGTTTTTGTTTTATGAATTGTAGATTATTAAGATAGGTCGGATAGATACCGGTTGACTCGAACCTGAATGAGTTAGGATTTTAGTGTTCGGGGAAGTATCCGCGCGGGAGTCGGTTCCATAAAGTAGCAGCCCTTGGATATAAGTGAATATAAGAATCTTGATATCGAAATTGACAAAAGTAGAACCATAATACTGTTAATTAGAATCCTAGCTACGAGCATGAAATGGATAGACAAGAACATAAATAGGATCTCTCGTAGCCTCTGTGGTCAAAAAATTAAAAAAAAATGGCACTCTCTGGGACTGCTCGTTTACTCAGGAGAGTTTTATTGATATAAAAAAAAATTGTAAAAATTTCGTATGATAAGTATCATTTAGCATCAGAAATTGTGCTATTTTCGTGCAAACTGCTTTGCTTTCCCCTAGGCAATAACCCTATAAGGTGTTTTATTAAACAGAACACAAAAGAAGATAATAATATTAATAATAATAATAATAATAATAAATGGAGTTTGAAATGGGCGTAGAGATGCAACTACAGCACAATACACCGGCTGAAACTGAAAAATACCTAAAAATGACAGCAAAGACGAATGAAACCGACCAGATACAGAAGCGATGGCAAGATAAACCGCTTCATGGCCAATACTCTGCCCGTTCCAAACAAGCTGACGTAGACAAAACCCGTACCCATCAGTGGCTACGTAGTTCAGGGTTGAAAGCGGAAACTGAAGGTTTTATCATTGCTGCGCAGGACCAATGCTTGCTAACTAGGAATTATCAAGCACATATACTAAAATATTGTGTCAGCCCAAAATGCAGATTCTGTGATAAATATCCAGAAACGATTGATCATCTTGTATCAGGTTGCACGATGTTAGCACCCACTGAAAATAAAACCCGACATGACAGAGTGGGCCAATATCTGCACTGGAAAATCTGCAACTTCTACGGGAAGGAAACTGAAAGAAACTGGTATGAACACCACCCAGACCCGGTTACGGAGATAGGACCTGTTACAATTCTATGGGATTACACAATACACACTGACAGAACAATCAATGCCAATCGGCCAGATATTGTTATTAAAGACCACAAACAAAAACGGTGCCTTCTTATTGATATGGCAGTCCTTGCTGACTGAAATGTATCTTTGAAGATATTCAAAAAGTTGTCAAAGTACAAGGACCTTGAAATAGAAATCTCGAAAATGTGGCATATGGGAACATCAACAATCCCTGTTGTAGTTGGAGCCCTAGGACTGGTTGGAAAAGATTGCAGTAGACTAATTGAAGGGATCCCTGGAAGTCCATGCCTCAAGGAGATACAAAAAATGTTCTGACAAGTACAGCCCACACCTTACGAAGGGCTTTATCTATTTATTTATTTATTTATTTTTTGTCAGTGGAAACTATCACGACGCCATTTCTAACCTTAGGTCCCTGGGCAGGACCCGGAAAGAAAATTGTAAACGCCAGAAATCAAAGAAAATAATAATAATAATAATAATAATAATACCCAGGGAGAGATATGCAGAGTGGTTGGTTCTGATCTGGCATCTCGTCTACAGTCACTTTCTCACAGACGTGCCGTCGCCTCCCTATGTCTTTTCTACTTCCGCTAGTTCCCAGATTGCTTGAATTTAAGTGTGCTACTCGGCTGACATCACGGTCCCATCCTTTCACTGTCGAAATGATTAAACGTGGCCGTCTCTTCTACTCCAATAGGTTCATGTCTCGCACCTCCCGTCTGAAGCTGTTCGAGTGGAACTTGCATGTTACCAATATGAAGGGAATGAGGGTGCTGCGCTACAATGGGCGTGGCATGGTGGGTTTTAATGTTGAAGGTACTGTATTTCTGTCTGAGCATTTTCATTGAAATAGCGGTACATTAGCCATAGTCTTGCGACGTTTATTCTGTGGGAAATGTCATCACCCAAAAGGCCGGGCAAACGCGGATTGATCTTGCGTCTGTGACATCCGCCGGTTTCTATAAACTTTGGATAAGCTCCCAAAGACAGCTGATGGCGGTGCAGGATCTTTTATGGCTTTATAGGATCACACTGGAGAGACAGTCTCAATTGCAAAGAATGTATGTGAAGACGCTCTCCCCCGATGTCGACGCGTTGTTCTCATTCCGTCAAGCACATTTATCCCCGGCGGCAAGCCTTCTTTTCGGCGGCAAGCCTTCTTTTCGGCGGCAAGCCTTCTTTTCGGCGGCAAGCCTTCGTTTCTCCTCTTCGCGCTCGAGCCCTGGGCGTAAATCGCGTTTCCAGAACGATCTCTGGCAGAAGCTTCCTACCTCTCGATCTCCCATCCTGCATAGGGTGCACATGTCCAAGCCAACAGTGTCGGTACTGTTGAAGAAGGGCGTATAGGCTGGATAACTGCGCACGGAAGAGAACTATGACATTGGTCGAAAAAATTGATGCCTAGAATCCCTCTCTGACCACGAAGAAGAAAGGTGTTGAGGTGTCTTTCCTATTTGGAGTCGAGGCTGCTGCACTCCTCACTGCCATAGAGCAGCAAGTTAACGACGCATGCTCTATAGACTGCAGCTTTGGTAATCGTAGTAAGCTTTCTGTTCTCCCAGACTCCTGGCAAAATTCTACGTACCACCCGGGATCAATGGATACTTTAAAAAAGCTTTGAAAAAAATCAAGTTCTGGAAGTGGGGAGAGATGATGCAATGAATCACTTTTTTGGAAAAATATAACTGATAATGTATGGATATATAGAAGTATCTTTATCAAACATTTTATATATACAGTCAACCATAAACAAATACACATACATACTGTGGGCTATAAGTTTTAATTACAGCAATTTTGGTCTGTGTAATAATGTATCTTCTTTTTATTCAGACAATACCGTATTAGTATCAAGGTCCTCTCATTTATGAACGATATAATTGACTTATATTTTGCAATAATAGTTCGCGTAAGTAAGGAAATTCATGAATTTCAAGAATGGCAAATAATAAGATAGCATCAGTGTGTCAAGTCAAATAGAGAAATTGCTAGCTTTTTCCAGGTTTTAATCATTAAGCGGTTAATAATATTGTCAAGAAATTTAATGAAGAAAGCCATTGTAGTGTGGAACAATGTTCAGGAAGACCAAGCAGCACTAAATTGGGAAGTCATTATAAACCGTCGTCAGAGCGTCAAAGATGTCTCCAACAGAATGGAAATGTCACCATATGCAGTAAGAAAGACTCCGAAAGAGCGTGACTATCAAAGAAGCGTTGCAAGAAAGAAGCCCTTGATTTCAGAGGTTAACAGGAACAGGCGTATGGTCTGGGGGAGAGAATTCGATAGAAAAGTTTATGAATTTTGGCAGTCTGTAATTTGGTCAGATGAAAGTAATTTCTGCCAATATTCGAATTCGAGATGTTTGGAGAAATCAGAATGAGACTTGGAACAATGAATGTCTGCAGGCGACCGTGAAACATGGAGGAATTAGTGTAAAGGTGTTGGGAGCTGTCTGGTTTGGATAGAAATCTGAGCTGATTCTTGTTAATGAGTTTGCTTAATAGTCCAAAATACTGTCAAATATTAGAGAAAGGACAAGTCCCACTATTTGAAATCAATCAGATTGACAAGAATGTCTACCTTTATCAAGAAGATGGATCGCCATGTCATGTGAGTAATGTAGATGGGTCCTCGTTCCTCCTAACCTCCAATCTCCCAATCAGAGGCCTTGTAGCTGAATGTAGTTTATCGTCATACCTGGGACTACAACGCATTTATAAATAATAATCCATGGGCTTCGTGTCTCGTAATAAAAAAAAAATATTTTACACACAAGTCAACCAAATTTTCGTGCATTTAAAAAAAAAAAAAACGATTTTCCTATAAGAAACCTTAAAAATTCAACTTGAATTGTTTTACAAAATAGTCTTTTTCGCAAATTCACCGAAACAATATTAGATCAATATAAAATTTTGATTGATTGCCCATATGTGGAGCATTCTTGAAATCGACAATAAACAGTGTTCTTAAAAAATAAACTTTTTTCTTTTTCAAGCAACATCGAAATGTATATAAAATCAATATTTTCTGATTGATTTGCTCTTAGATTAGTCAATGAAATCCAATTTGCTTAGTGTTGTCGCAAACAACATTAAATGAACATTTTATCAATATTTTTATTTGATTTCTGACTTGCGTCTCCCGTTGTTGACAGAAGTTTTTTTCGTAAGGTGTCATGCAGCTTTTTTTATTTTTATTTTTTATCAATTCACCGGAATCAAGGTAAGAGAGCCACTAAGACGCAACGGGTTACTTAATGTGAAAGAATTTGAGTGCCTGTGGGAGTACGTGTGTATTTGATAAAAAGAGAGAGTACATATATCAGAGTGTATGTTCAATTGAGATAGAAAGAAAAAAAAGAGAGAGAAAGAGATAAGAGATGTAAATGTATATGTGTATGTGGGCGGAGAGGAAAGAAAATGTATTTTAAAGAGAATGGGGGGTATGAATGTGAGAATGTATCTCTGTTTTCCAGTGATGGAGAGAGAGAGAGAGAGAGAGAGAGAGAGAGAGAAATCGAAAATTTTAAAATGTGTGAATATGAGAGAGAGAAAGACGGACCAACAGACAGACGGTGTGGGAGTATATGAATGCGTGAGAGAATGTGTATGAGAGTGTGCGTGAATTTATAAGATGTAATGCGTATGTAAAAATGCATTTGTGTTTAAGAGAGAGAGAGAGAGAGAGAGAGAGAGAGAAAGAGAGAGAGAGATGGAGAGAGATAGAGTGTGTGCGTGTGTAAAAGTGCGTGTTTGATATATAGTGTATGTGGTAGTGTTTTTCTGTGTATATGCGTAAGAGGTATAGTGTGTATACCAGTGTGTATATCTGTTTTGAGGAGATAAGAAGATAGATAGGAAAAGACAGAATTGGAGACAGTGTATGTGCTTCAGACACCGAGCACACGTGTTTAAGCGAAAGAGAGTGAATCTGAGGATGTGTATATATATATATATATATATATATATATATATGCGTGAGGTTCGAATATGTGATAGTGGATATATGTGTAAAACCTTTAAAAAAAAACACGAAAAACTTTTTCGGATGCACCAAGTAAGTTAAAAGAACAACAGTAGTACAGTCAAACCTCTCATCTACGGACCCTCCCATCAACGGACTTCGGATGCAACGGACAAATCTGCAGGCTAAAAAAAAAAAGAAAAATCTGCAGGAAAGAAAACTTCCAAATCGTCAGCGATTTATTTCAAAATTTCGACCTCAAAGTGACCACTTGGCGGCACTTGCTGACCTTTCTATTGTAAACAAAGACAGGTGTACAGTATATAAAGTACGATACATTAGCGCGTGCGTGAGAAAGTTGCTGTGAGAAATCTATTATTTTTGTTATTTTGATTAATATATCTATATTAAATATATATTTATTTATGCCATATATACATGTTTATATTATTTACATCATGATCATAGATACCGGTAGTTACTATAGTGGTTTTATAACTAAAAAATAATCCCTTCTCATATACGGACAATCGGCTTTAACAGACCACCCTTCCTCCGTATTAGTCCATTGATGAGGGCTTTGTATATGGATGTCCCTGAAAAACTCTAGCTGACCAGAACCTAATCGCTGGTCTCTCCTATGACCCTATTCACACAGTTCAGTGTAGGAAGAGAAATCCAATGCATCCAAAAGCGAGGTAGTCACGTTTCATCAACACAAATAGCAGACCCCGTATTTCCTCAAACCATGATGAAGACGTACACATAAAAAAAAATAAATAAATTTGGGTGGAAAATATTTCGTATTAAGCTTTTCAATTTTTGATAAGTAAATATAATTTTCAATTACTGACAATATTAAAAACCAGGATCAAATTAATGTAAAATTTTAAAAGACATACACTAATAATTATTATAATTAAAATTTAAAAAAATGAAATTAATTCTTGTAAAATTCATTATTCATAGAAGAAAAATTCTTAAGACACTTATTTGAAAGCATTAAATAATGTCATAAATGGATTGCATTATTAATTTTACGATTTGGAGCAGATTTTCGGGAAATGAGTAGTAGTTTAAAAAAAATATATAGTACATTTTCCAAGGATTCCTGCTTTTAACTTATAACAAACAATTTTGGAGGAAAATTTAAATTTAATTTCACAAAATTTCATGAAATTTAGTAAGTGTGTGTGTGGTGGTGGTGACATATGTAAAAAAAAAAAAAATTACCAAGATTTTCTAAAATAAAATTTCAAAAATAATTTCCTTCATTCCTGAATGAATGTTTCAGTAAAATCCGACAATTATTTGATTTTTGCAAGTTTCCAAACGAATGTTTTTTACCTGAAAAAGGCGCTAAAACACTAATTGTAAATATTACGTCGAGCCCTGATGAAAAAACAAAACAAAAAACAAAACAAAACAAGATTTTTAACCAAAATTTCGAATGTTCTAGAATGGATTAAAAATGAATAATTTAATCAAAAAATACTTTGGTCTTTCCGCTTAATAATAACATAAACATTTGAGCGATAAAAAATTGTCATTATTAAGTTTGTAGGGGCTTTTTCATCATTCTTTGCTTTTTTTCAGCGACCAAATGGGAGTAAAGAGATATTTCCACTCAGGCGGCCTCTTCTCCAGAACTGCTACAATGTGGAAAGGACTCCCGACTTGACTAATTACTACAATCTTAACATCACCACTTTTAGAGTGAACCATTATCTAGCCTTGATATCCTCATAAACCTAATCCTTTTGCCTCCTTTATACGCCTTAGAATATAACTATTTAACTGTAGCTTGAGTGGTACTTGGTATATATATATATATATATATATATATATATATATATATACCTATATATATACCTGCAAACTCTAGATCAGGGGTCGGAAATAATGACGGGTCGCGGTCCGGACGAAGGACTTTAATGAAAAATTAAGGAAAATTACATATGCAGACCCCTGTCAACCTAAATATTTAAAACCATAAATAAAAATAAACATTGCGAAATCAGAAAAACAAAAGAAAATCTAAAATTAAAAAAAAAAACCTAACAAAAATTACTTTTCCTCAAGGAACGTCAAAATACTTCAAAGTGAAAAAAATCAACCGAAGTGAAATGGATGAAATTATGACGTGTAGGTTTGAAACTGTTATTGAAAATTGTTCCACAAACGAACCACACACATCAAACAAAAACGAAGCACATATACACATACATACAAATATACACTTACATTCCCTTCCTGGCCTCTTTCACTTTATTGTTCCTTTCGCTTCTGTTATCTTTTAATGTAGTCAAGGGTCATAACAAATATGTATCCATTATTTGACATTAAACGTAGGCAACGCAACTTGGTAAAATAAGTCTCATGAAATATAACTGGCAGATAGTCTAATTCGAAAGCCTCATCTCTCATGTTAAAAATAGAGTCATTGGTAATCAGGCTCGCGGGCCGGTCAAAATGCCTTTGCGGGCCGGATCCGTAGGTTGCCGACCCTTGCTCTAGATGACCAGAGACTCGAAATTATAGGAAAAACTAGTTGGTTCCATTCAATTCCTCAGATCCAAGCTTCGCCTATCACAAGGAAACGGTATTCTCTAAAGGAGGTCCATTGTTTTCATCATCTATTTGGACTTAAACTCATCTCTCTCTCTCTCTCTCTCTCTCTCTCTCTCTATATATATATATATATATATATATATATATATAAATGGAGTTTTAAGGTGTGCTATATTTATGTAATAATGTGCTCAATATCACGGATAAAGCTTATGTAAATATAAAAGTTGTCATTGAAGTCAACACTCAGAGGCGACAGACTATTCCATGCTAAATGCAATCATCAGGCCTGAAACAGTCTGTCGCCTGTGAATATTGACTTCAATGGTCACTTCATACATACGTGTGTGTGTGTGTGTGCGCGCGCCTGTGCGCGTGAGTCTGTGTGTCTGTGCGCGTGCGTGTGTTAATATAATAAGTACATCCTATCTCCCCTCTCGCTTATAACCATCCCTTACTATTAAAAAAATGTATTTAATTTCTAAAGCTGAATTATTCGAATAAAGCTTCTACTTAATGTCATATTACAATATGCATACACACACACACACACACACACACACACATATATATATATATATATGTACAAGTGTATATACATATATGTACAATTTTATATATATATATATATATATATATATATATATATATATACATACAAGTGTATATATATATTTACAAGTATACTTGTTCATATCTCTCTAAGCGTTTTCCCTTCTATATAGAACATCTATCTATCTATCTATCTATCTATCTATCTATCTATCTATCTTATTTCCGTCTCTTCATATCTATCTGTATCTGTCAGTTTCTCTCTCTCTCTTTCTCTGTGTGTCTGTTTGTCTGTCTGTCTATCTCTCTATATATCTATTTTCATATCCACATATACGTTTATGCTTCTGTTCCTATATCGATAGATAAAGAGATTGAATGTGGAACTGATTAAGCGAGATCTGTTTATCCCTAAACATAGAACGATCGGGGCTGATTGACTTACACATTAAAGCGAATAGATAGATTGGATCTAAACATCCTTTGATCCATTTACACTGTTTTTTGTCTCCCCTTACATTTTTTTGTCATTTCCGATGGAGAGCAACATAAATTGCCATCATGTGATTAGATTATCTCCCTTTGTTGAGCTTTTAGCGACTATGGCCGCCATTTCGGTATGCAAAAAAGAGAATTGTTTGCTGATTACGTTGATGAACAGACACAATCAACATAGAGCCACTAACTAACTGAATAAATACATCAAGCGATTATATATAAGAGAGCAATGACCAGAGATTTCTCCGCAGAGAATTGCCCAGAACAATGATGATGGCCGTTGGGGGGGGATATAAGAGGTGGGGGTGTTGGGACGGAGGAGAAGGCAGCGACGATTGAAGACCGGCATTATTTATATTTGCTCTTTTGGGCATTTTTGGGACGAATAATGAAAAAAATGATGATAACTGCATTGTTCGTTTGATAGACATAATTAGAAAAAGAAGAAGAAGAAAGGGGAAAAGGAGGAGGAGAAGAAGAAGGAGGAGACTGAAGGTAAAAAGAAGAAAAGAACAAAAAGGGGAGGAGGATGAGAAGGAAAAATGTAGATAATAATAATAATAATAATAATAATAATAATAAGAAGAAGAAGAAGAAGAAGAACAAGATGAAGAAAAAGAAGAAGATGATGATGAATAAGAAGATGAATAAAAAGAAGAAGAAGAGGAAAGGTAAATGAGAAGATGAATAAAGAAGAAGAAAAGAAAGAATTAGTAAGAGAATAATAATAATAATAATAATAATAATAATAATAATAATAATAATAATAATAAGAAGAAGAAGAAGAAGAAGAAGAAGAAAAAAAGAAGAAGCTTAAAAAGAAGAGACAGAAGCTAGAAAGAAGAAGGAAGAAAAAAGGACAAATAATAATAATAATAATAATAATAATAATAATAAGAAGAAGGAGGAGCAGGATGAGAAGGAGAGAGGTAAAAAGGGGAAGAAAAAAGAGAATAATAATAATAATAATAATAATAATAATAATAATAATAAGAAGAAAGAAGCCAAAGTTGTTGAAGAAGAAGTAAATGAGGGAGGAGAAGAAGTATAGGAGAAAGAAGAAGGAAGAGAAAAATAATAATAAAAAGAAGAACAAGAAGTAGAAGGTGAAGACTGAGATGGAGAGGAAGAAGAAGGAAAGTAAGAAGAAAGAATCGAATAGCAAGAAGAAGAAGAAGAAGAAGAAGAAGAAGAAGAAGAAGAAGAAGAAGAAGGATGATAAGAAGAAAACGAAGAAGAAGAAGATCAAAATTAAAAGAAGAAAATTAAAAGAAGTAGATGTAAGATAAGGAGAAAAATGATGATGATATTACTAATAATAAGACAAAAAAATAAGACGGAGGAGGAGAAATAAAGAAGGAGAGTCATAGGAAGAGAAATAGAGGAAAACAAGAAGAAAGAAGCGAATAATAATAATAATAATAATAATAATAATAATAATAAATTTATTCTCAAAAATATGGCACATGGTAACATCAACAATCCCCGTTGTAGTTGGAGCCCTCGGATTAGTTGGAAAAGATTCCAGTAGACTAATTGAAGGGATCCCTGGAAGCCCATGCCTTAAAGAAATACAAAAAATTCTTCTCACGAGTACAGACCACACCTTACCAAGGGCTTTATCTATGTAAAATATGTTTGTGTTTTTTTTTTTCTTTTTTTTTTTCAATGGAAAATGTCATGATGTCATTTCTAACCTTAGGTCCCTGGGCGGGATTCGGAAAGAAATGAGTACACATCAGAAATGAAAGGGAATAAAAAATAATAATAATAATAATAATAATAATAATGATAATAATAATAAGAAGAATGACAATGAAAAGTTTTCAAGAGGAAGTGGAATTTGAGAAAAAGCTCCGAGGAAAGCATTTTAAATAAAAGAAAAAAACACGGCAAGAAAAGTAAAGATAAAAAAAAAAATAATAAAAAAAAAAAAAGAAAGAAAAATATAAAGTAAAACATAAGATAATCTTATAATCAATTTCTAGCAGTAACCCGAGATATTCCATTGGTGTTGAAAATATCCTTCTACATCTAACCTTTTTTCCCTTGTGTCTTCTCATCGCTTCCCTTATCCATTTCAATCATCATTCATTTGTCATTTTTTATTGAATCATTTTACTAACAGATATAATTCTCCTATCACATTTTCCACTTGTGGAAATCTCTCCCGACTTTCTGTTTTCCAGTCAATTTTGATCTTCAAAAATATAAATACAATATTCATCTTCCGTATCCTTGATGGTTGTTCTTTTATTGTCTTCTCAGATTCTTTTCTCTTTCATCCTATTGACTTTTATTATCTTGCTTGGTGAGCAATATTTATAAGGTGCTATTCACATAGAATAAAGTTTTATTGAAACCTAATTATATACAATAAGGAATCACTTGCAATATAGATGAACAAATACCACTAGACAATATGAAAATCAATACAATATAACTAAATACAAATTAGAGACATGTCTTGATATATCATTCCAGCTTAAATAATTCAACAACGTTTTGCGGCAATTTTTAAAATCAAAGTTAAATAATTTAACACATTCAACATTATGGACGAAAAATATTGAATTTTATATAGCGTTTTCCCAGAATTAGTATTTGCGAAACAAATTTACAGCTATTTACGAAAAAAAAAAAAAGAAAAAAAAGAAGAAAAAAAAGAAAGAAAGAAAGAAAGAAAGAAAAAAAAGAAGGAAAAAAGAAAAAGGAAAAAAAAAAGAAAAAAAAAGAAACAAAAAAGAACCCTGAATGACATCAAAACCCGTGAAATCTTTTATTCTTTAATAATTGTGTTTAGTTCAATTTCAACGGGTTGAGTGCGATGGATAAATTGTCGTCTAAATGTCGCCCAATTGAAAATAACGCTGACGTCTCATTTTAACGGGTATACAGGGTGCGATGGATAAATTGTCGTCTAAATGACGCCCAAATGAAAATAACATTGACATCTCATTTTAAGAGATATATAGGGTGCGATGGATAAATTGTCGTCTAAATGCAGCCAAAATAAAAATAACGCCGACGTCTCATTTTAACAGATATACAGGGTGCGATGGATAAATTGTCGTTTAAATTATGTAAAAATGAATATAACATTGACATCACATTTTAACATATATATTAACCAAATTTACACAAAAATATCTTAAAATCCTAATGAGTAAATTTATTCAATAAAATCGCCATTGGCTTCCATCACGCCGACAGTTCAGAGAGTTTTGATGGTCTCTCGCTCAAAACTGCCTCCTACACATAATAATCAAGGTGGTTGCAATCTGGGGAGAGAGATGGCCAGATATTACGGGTGATGTGGTTGAAGAAATTGTCTGACAGTCATGACTGGTTTCTCCTGCTTGTTTGGCATGGTGCAGAGTCCAGTTGGTCTAGGTCTGTTGATATAGGGTCTTCCAGCAGCCACCCTCTTGAAGCAAGCTAGTACTATCTCCTCAAGACAACATGATGTAGGCCTCTGTGTTGAGTCCGAGGCCCTCAGTAACAAATTCAGGAGTACTTTTTTTTATCAGAACGATAAGAGTGAATTTTCAGAGCTGCTGCACCTTCGTAATCACCATTAGACTTATCAAACTCTTTCCGAATCCTCTGCACTGAATTAATTTTGTCACGCAGATTCTCTGAAATGTTCATAGTGGAGCTTCCGCCGAGAAGACCAAGCAGAAATTCAGGCCGTTTCAAAAATTCTGGCGCAGTTATTTGCATCATGTTGCTCTTTTTCTCACAGAATAAAAAAAAACAAAAACAATGCGCATGCGCGAAATTAGAAATATACAATGGAGACAATTTATCCATCGGACCCTTTATGTAAATAAAGGTGTAAAAAAGCAAATGGTAAGTAAGCGTTGGTTACAAAACACTGTCCGGGGCTACCAATCAGGCTTGACAATACCATTAAGACAGGTATGAATCCATCTATTCTCCTCCCAATTACGGGTTAATTAGTAAGACTTCTATCACTAAATCATTATTATTTTTTTGAAAAATATTTTCTGGTTTTAAATAACCTGAAAGCGGGTTGAGCTATTATCATGGACAGTAGTTCCTATATATATATATATATATATATATATATATATATATATGTAATTCGAATTCCAGTCGAATCCATTGCGTTCACAACGTGCAAATACCCTTGGGAAAGGTATTAATCCTCTTCTTCTCCCTCCAGTTATGGGTAAATATCAGGTCAGACTCGGTTCTATAGCCTTGGATGGCAACTGGTCTAGGAGAAGGACAAATCTGAATTCAAAACCTGCGGAGCGTCGTTTTGGGACCTTGTGGCACATAGTGCACCTGGTCCCCAAAAAATGTGCCTTCACCACTATAATGAATTCATATGTGCATGTGTGTGGTCTCACGGTTCCAAAGAACTGATCACTTTGATCCTCATATATATATATATATATATATATATATATATATGTATGTATGAATAATGATAAAAATATATATTTTCAGGTATGTTATGTTTATTTATTAAAATGCACTTTACCAGGGGTAGAGCATATGAAAATATAAAAGTGTCAGTTGAAGTTAACATCCATGTGGCGTGAGAAATGCGTTTAGGACGAAACAGACTGTCCTCTCTGGGTGTTGACTTCAATGTCCTCTTTTATATATAGTTCACTATAGCTCAAAGTTAGCCTTTTATTCATGGATGAATGTAACCTGTACTATCGTGAAAGTGTGCAAATATAAAGGTGGACACTGGGGTCAACACTGAATCGTCCGGCCATGTGCGTTGTGTTTTGGCTCGAATATTTATATATGTATTATAGATATGCAAACACGAAAAAAAAAACTTTTACTACGTTAATTAAAAATCGAAAATTAAAAACAAAGAAAAAATTGCAATAAATAAAATAAATGAATGTA